TACAAACACTTTATTTTCATCTTTTCATTCTCTCACATTTTTTTCTTTTCCCTTTTTGTTCTTCCCCTACGTATCACACCTTCCCTACACCTTTAGCTCCTTTCCTCCCATTTCTAAATGTCAGTAATCTTATTAGAATCTTATGCATTGAATTTGGAGATATTTAATACTTTAAATTATGTTCATATTCTAACATTTAAAGCAAGTTCACAAAGAAGCATGGTAACCATTCAGCAAGTGAAGAATAAGGTACTTTAATTAGATAAAGTCAGAAGCAACAGCCCATAGTGCTAAAAATGAACTAAGAGGGTCATATAATCTAACTACCATCTATACCAAGTAGACATCCACGTTCAAAATTTTTCTGGTAGGTAACTCACTATTATTATGAAGTAGCTAAATTATCATTAATCAGTTCTAATTTTTAAAAATTTTTGTTATACTAAGCCATAATTCATCTTTGTATAGCTCTTACATTTTGGATGAAGTTTTTTCCTATAAGGTCACACAAAAGAAATTCATCCCTCCACAAGTATAAATTGTTCAAAGTATGTAAAGAAAACAAAATGTCCCCTAAATTTCAGCAGATTATGTTCCAAATTTTCTTATAACATGGCTTGCTTTCAATTCTTTAACCATTCAACCAATTGTCTTTTGAGCATATGTTAGCATTTATCAGTGTTAGAAGAGGAAGCAAAAGGAACACAACACACCAGGAGGTCTGTTATGGCTTTTATCTAGATGTTCCCCACAAAGCCTCATGAAGTCATAAGTGTGGCTCTTCAGAGGGAGCTGGATCTAGAGTGTGTGATACTGGGATTAAGGATGTGATGTTGGGATTGATTCATGGTGTGATGCTGGGACTAAGGGTGCCCTACCCTGGGTGTGCGTGCTTCTCACCCTAAAGGCAGGTAGCCTGGATAGAATAAAAGGGACAGAAAGATAGCTGTTGCTGCTGCATACTGCTTGCTGCTTCTTCACTACTTCACTGCTTTACTTCCTTCTGTCTGGCATGAACTGTTTCTTCTCTACCATACTCCTTTTCCATTCCACCCTACTTTGGAGCCAACTATAGACTATGGACTGAAACCTCTACAAACTGTGAGCCAAATAAACCTTTCCTCCTTTGTGCATTGAGTATTTTGTCTTAGCAATGAGAAAAAGTAACTAAGATAAGGTCTTTATAGATAGGTACCATGATTCCATCACTGCATTCTAAGATCATATTTCATCTTGTGGCAGCCATATCATACTATTAACTGAAGTTAAACTTACTGACAATTAAAACCCTAAATATCTTTCACACTTCTTCCTTGTCCTCATTTCTCATCTTGAGTTTACTTTCTTGAAAAGTAGGTGGGATCATGTAGATTAAGTAAAGAACTATAACTAATATTATATTTTACCTACTTGAAATATAGTGACTTATTATCTAATAAAGACACTAAACTCTAGCATCATTTTAATTTTAAGAATCATTTCAAGAAATAAAAATTTTATTTACAAAAACCTCAGTACCTCTCTTAAACAATTTAGTCCTGAAGACATTAGAAGGGACCAAACAAGATAGACATCTGCACAAAACTGGACTATTTGAACTGTCAGACTGAGTAGTATGTTCCTAGAGAAAGAGGAAGCAGCCTAATGCATAGTATCAGATACTGTATGAAATGAGCTAAGCCAAATAAGGAATATCCACACTATGAGAAAGCCTGTTGTGGAATGTTAGAGTCCAGAAGGTTAAAGAGGGGTCCATACTGTAGTATGAGGTTCTGGAACAAAGCTTAGTAAGAAATATGACCTGGCAGGAGTGTCAGAGCCCACTGCACAGAGAAGAACAACTATACATGAGAGCGACTGATGTAAGGTGTCAGACTCATCTGGAGAAAGATATTTTCATGTAGGAAGGCATGGACAGAAGGAAATTTTAACTGCGCGGAAGGCTCAGACTCTAAGTTGGATAAGGAGGCATGTATGTAGGAGAGGGAGAATGAGAAGAATGTAAAATGGTCAGGTACAGAGAGACTAATAAAAGGATATGAGAGCTAGGCATGGTGGCACATACCAGGAATCCCAGCACTTGGGAGAACAAAGAAGGACGATCATGAGTTCAAGGCCAACCTAGACTACCCAGCAAGTTCAAGATTAGCCTAACCTACATAGCAAGATTCTGTATCAAAAAGCCAGAGGAAGTGGGGTGGGTGGGTAAACAGGAACCAAGTTTTCACTGCTGAAGAAGTTGCTTATAAGAACAGAAAGGGAGAAAACTAGGATAAACAGTATGTATTCTGGATTCAATTTGTATTTGCATGTGACCTAAATACATTCCCTAACTCTATCCACTGAGAATGCTCGGGAACAGCAACATCCCAATAGCAAGGAGGACATCCAACACCAGATATGTGTCTATGTACTATATTCCACAAAAATAAACTAGATCTCACTGGAGAAAAAGCTGATTCCAGGGCCTAGCCAGAAAATCTTGCTAGAAAATAAGAAAGTATTCAAGTGAGCATGGGCACATATCAATAAGTTATAGAGCCAGCTTGGAGAGACTCCCAGTGGCCAAATCTGGGACAATCCGAGCACTGAAGCAAAAAATAGTAACAATAATTATAACCCAATGAAGTAAAACTAGAAACTCTAATTTGAATTAGAGTTAAAAATTAAATGAAGAATAGGATATCCAAAGTACTATAAAATACTAATTGCAAAAGGAAAAGAATAAATATCCTATAGGGAGGTAAGCTTTGTAGACACTATCTTAATATGTTATAAAAGTAAACATCACCAGAAACGGGAGAAAATAAAATTCATCCATCAATTCTGACAGTATGCAATGAAAAGGATACACCATCACTTCTGTGCTATTTTCCCAGATGTATAATGTGAAGTTACTCATCAAGAAATAAAGGAGAAACTCAAGTTGAGGGACATTCTTTAAAATAAATGGCCTATAATCTTCAAAACTGTCAAGATCATAAAAATCAAGGCAAGAGTGAAGATATGTTTGTTCTAGATCAAAAGTAAAAAGAAATGACTACAAAATTCAACCTGATTCAACTTTACTGGAACTGATATAACCTGAACAGAGTTGTAGAAGTAAATGGTAATAGTGTCAGGGCCAGGGATTTAGCTCAGTGGCACCTCACCTGCCTTGCAAGCACAAGGTCTTGAGTTCAATCCTTAGTACCAGAAAAAAAGAAAAGAAAAAAAATTTAATGTCTTGCTGGGCATACTGGAGCATGCCTGTGATCCTAGCACGTGGTAGGCTGAGCCAGGAGTATCACCAAGAGTTTGAGGCTAGCCTGGGCTACACAGTGAGTTCAAGGCCAGTCTGAATTACATAGGAGACCCCGTTTACAAAAAAAAAAAAAAAATTAATTCCTAAGGGTATATCTTTGGCTATATAGAAGAAAATGTTATTGTTATAGAAATGACAGAGTAAAGTATTCTACAGATAGGAAAGATAAGCCAACTATTCTGAAATGACTTAGAAAAAAAAACTTTACCATACTTAACACTTCTTTGTGAGATAATATTTCAAAATTCCTAACAAATTTCCCCTTTTCTAAAACACTTATTTAAAAATATCTTCCTCTATAGCCTTAGGCTTCCTTAGAGGGGGACAAGAGCTAAGTTAAGTAAAGAGGACCTTGAGTTCCTGACTGTTTTAATGAGACTAGTTACACCTTTGTCAAGAAGCAACTCAAGAGTACTAATTACAAACCCAGCCTTTGAAGTCAAAGGTATCGAATTCTAACTCCATACACCATAGCTAAAGAACATAACATCACTCCACATTTCCTCAATTGAATAAAGTAAAACACTGTAACAGGTCATAAGCAAAACATATTTTTCTGAAAGTATCTTCTAAAAATAAATCATATTGAAAAATATATTTGAGAAACCACTACATGAAGGAACTGTGCAAGGTACCACAAGAAATTCATAAGACTGAGTAAACTTAAAATGCTTACAACCTAGTTGAGGAGAAAACTAGTCTAAAAGCAGAGTTAGGTATATTTCATTTAATAGCTATGTTTTTTAAAATTTTACATAAATAAAACAGATGTCTCTGCCCATTCATTAGTTGAAAATTTAAAAAATGTATTACCTGAACTGAATATTCACCAAATGAGGCTGGGAGCCATCTGATTGCCAGTAAGTTTCTAGATTGTCATCTCGTAACTGATCCACTCCAAATCCTGAAAACACCAAAAATGACAATAAATTCCCATTGTAAAACATAATCAAAACATAAAATAACCATATATTATTTGTTCAGAAATTTTTTTTTTTCTTTTTGTACCAGGGATCAAACTTGGGACCTTGCATTTGTGAAGGGCAGGTAGCGGAACCATTGAGCTAAATCCCCAGCCCTGTTCAGAAATTTTTTTTTTTTCAGCTTTAATTGAGTTTATTGGTACATTTTAGGGATACAGTACAGTTACATTCATTGTTGGGATCTTGTACCTCTACATGACAAGTCTTGATTCTCATTTTTTCCCCTTAACTCTGCCCTCCCTTCACCCCCTCCTCCCCTCCCCATCTACAAACACTTTATTTTCACCTTTTCATTCTCTCACATTTTTTTCTTTTCCCTTTTTACTCTTCCCCTACCCATCCCACCTTCCCTACACCTTTAGCTCCTTTCTTCCCATTTCTAAATGTCAGTAATCTTATTAGAATCTTATGCATTGTTGCAGATTATTTTCAGAAATGTGAAACAAACAGAATTCTTCCACTTTTTAAAAATCCAGATCTCAATTCTTAAGAAATACCAGTAGCGCACAAAACACTACTACAACTTACTTCTTGTGACTTGTTGGCTTTGTAAAAACATCTTCCAGGATATATATGCTTATGTCTGTATGTATTCAAATAATTTCTCATACCTTTCACAAGCTAATTGATTATAAAAATGATCCCTACATTCTGTAAAATCTTTGAAAATGAAGATTCTATAAGTTTAATATGCCATACTTCCTACAAAAAGAAAATGGACGATTTGAAAAATATTTTCAAAAGGCATAAACATTTTGAAATCTAGTGCTTCTGGTTAATTAAAATTAAATTTACCCAGAATCCTAGGTCCTTTTGCCATCCTAGGTAACTGAATTATCTTGTGTTTTTTCCTAATTAAAACCACAGTAATTCATATTAAAGCTAGAAATGAGACTGATTTAACTGTAACAAGTAGATTCCCCCCTCAAAAGTTAAGAAAATGGATTTAATGTACTTGAGTAATATACTTCTGATGGATCAAATTGAAAAAGCACAAAAAAGAACCTGGTGAAAAGTTACTATCTGCCACTGGGCATGGTGGCACATGCCTGTAATCCCAGCACTCAAGAGGATAAGGTAGAAAGATAGCTGTGAGTTCAAAGCCAGCCTGGACTACATAGGAAGGCCCTGTCTCAAAAATCCAAAGAAAAGAAAAGTTGCTATTTCCCTACCATCTTGTTTTCCTCTCCAAATATAATCAGTATTATCAGTTTCTTGCCTGTTCTTTTACAAATACTGCATGTATATAAGCAAGAAAATGTATTTTTTCTTCCCCTCTCTGAACACAAATGGTGACATACTATATAATTTTTCCATGTTCTTTTTCTAGTTAACATAGTTAGATTATCCTATATCAATAAATTAACAATTATAATAATTATTAAAAACAGTGATAATGTATTTAATATGAGCTAGACATATTCTAATTATTTTATATATATATTAAACCATTTAATATTTACTAACATACAATATCTAAACATAAACAGCTTCCACATTGTTGAAGCTTATATAACATACCATTGCCTAAAAATATAATTATTTAAGCAAACCCCTTCAGAACATTTAGTTAGTTTTCAGTGTTTTAGCATTATAAACAATGCTATAATAGATACCCCTGTATAATCTTTATCCATGTTAAAATCTTGAAAACAAACTAAGACTAGAATGCAGGTCATTTGAATTTTTAACTTGATGAACGCTGTCAAATTCTCCTCCAAAATGCTTGTACAATAATGTACAAGAACATCTACTCTCCATAGGTAGTGAAATTCAGATGCTCTCAAATTTATAAACTACATTTTGAAGACTTAGTATAAAAAAAATCTAACTATCTATTTAATAAGTTTTTATACTGATTACATATCAATAGATGTGATATGTTGACTTGGCTTGAGTAAGAATGGCCCAACAGATTAGTAAAGCTCGAAGTGTGTCTCTGGATGACTGACATGTAGGACCCAAACTGAGAAGAGAAGACTCACCCTCGATTTGGGTGGCATCAACTAACAGGCTTATAGCCTGGACAGAGTAAATATGGAAAGAAGTCTTGCCCCTTTGCGTTAGAGGAGCTCCAATCTTCATCATTGCCTTTGGACACTGGTCTCCATTTCCTTCAGGCTTCCAAAGCAGACTCTTCAGCCTTGCAGCAGAGTCTTCAGGCTTTTCAATAGACTCACACGAGTGACTGCAGTAAGCTTCCTGGCCTTTGACTCTCAACTGCTACTAGATCCTCTGGCTCTCCCTTGTGTAAACAGCCCCTGGACTCTTTCTCTTCTAATGTTGTAAGCCTACCTAGTACGTCTTTTGTTTTATATATAT